CCCCTATTGCCAGTAGTTTAGATTGCTTCCCATGTCTGTGATTTAAAATAATACTGTAATGAATATCCTTGTGCCTAAATTGTTTTCTGTATTTGACCTGGTCCCAGGAATAGAATTACCAAGTCAAGGGACTTGCACACTTTACAATTCCTGGCACCAATTGTCAAATTTTAGCCAGCGTTTGAAGAAACAGCAGGTGTGCTTCCCTATTTTTTTCTTCAATGTACTTTACTCCAACCCAATTTTTCCTACCCTCACTACCCAGAAAGCCACTGATGATGACTTCATTTTTATCTAGATTTGTCTATGAAGGAAGATAGCACTCTGGTGTATATAGTATATATTTTGTCACTGTGATGTTGATGAGTTGATGTGCGGCACTCTCTTGGGTAATAAGCAACTTTTAAAAGAGAGGATGGATGGCAAGGAGAAGGTATTATAATCCCAAAGAGTGAACATCTAACAAAAGAATGTCATGTGCCATGGAAACTGGTGATGGGAAGACAAGTGGAAAACTAAGGAGGTTCTTCCTGGACCTTCTCAAATTACAGCAGAGGCCCCTAGTACAGCAAGGTCTAGGAGCCCTCCTACTATCTGAGCAAGCACTTCTATTTGTCTAGTAAAATTATCCTAAAGGAATGTCAATGGAATCCCTTATTTTCATTTTAAATAGCAATGCATATGATAATGAGGAGAAACAGTGAGCAGGTCTGGCCCTGGATGTAGGATTTATTATCATTATTTTTTGCAGTCAGGCAGAGGCTTGCTGGTAGAGACTTGGATTAATGTCTTAGCAATAATGTCTTACCTCTGCCTATCCCCTCAATGTTTTCAGATAGCAGTGTGGCCAATAAATAGCACTGTGGAACAAAGAACAGGTAATTTTGCATGCTTAGAGAATGAGGTTCTGGAAAATTAAATATTCTGATTAGTAAAGTAATCACAAATGGATTGCAGTAAAGTGCACTTGTCACTATGGAGACTATAATTTAGACCCTCTAGTGGTCACAACATGATGCAGTGTCTTGGAGTCCTGACGATGACTCTAGGACAGATATTTGAGGAGTGCTGACTAACAGAGGATTTGGACATTTGCTTCCAGCATTTTAAAAGAGTTGGAACATACAGGAAACATGACGAGAACATAAAGACTGCATTTGAGGACAATCACTAATTAATTTCATAGATACGATTGAGCAGCTACTATGGGCAAAGCACTGAGGAGAGGGGGCCAACCCCAGAGGTCCCACTATTGCTGAGATTAAAAGGGAGAGGATAAGAATTTTTAAATCAATTTTATCCCAGACTCACGATCACTTTCCTATGAGATGAATGAGAAAAAAATTATATTTGTACACAAAATGTTACAATATAGTGTAGTGGTAAAGAGATGTGCTCTGGTGCCTGCCCGCCTGAGTTTGTATCCTGGTTCTCATATGTGGCAGATGTATGAGAGTGGGCAGGCTAATAAACCTCCCTGTGCTTTAGTTTACTCATCTGTAAATCGGTGATGAAAGCAGATACAACATCGTATGTTTATTCTGAAGTTAATATGAAGATTTGAGCAGAAACATTCAGGTCTCCTGCCTCATACTGAGTAGTCTTGGATCAAAAACATAACTCAAAAGGTCCAAAGAAACTTCCCTTACATATGAAGGAGGATTTAAAAAACTTGGAATTTATTTATAAAAAATTGTGTATTTATTCTTACATGTTTAAACTTGAGTCACTTTCTAAGTATTCTCTGTTTAATGCAATGCATCTATTGAGATGCTTTTTCCACTTCTCAAAACAGTTTTTAAAGTCATAAATTTTGATGGTTTTTTAGTGCTTCTGCCATTTTTTGTTTTACATTTTCCATATTGGCAAAACGTTTCCTTTTGACAGCTTTTTTCATTAGGGAAACAAAAAATATGTCACCCAGGGCACTTTTGGGTGAATAGGGAGGGTGGGGCATGGTTGTCATGACATTTTTAGTTAAAAACTGCTGAATGCTCATTGGGGTATTGGCAGGTGTGTTGTCATAGTGGAAGAACCAGTCACCTGTTTGCCAACTAAGGATGTTTCTTTTGCAAATTGTGACACAACCTTTTCAAGATTTACAGATAAAATCTAATGGGTTTCAGCTGGGCACGGTGGTTCATGCCTGTAAACCCAGCACTTTGGGAGGCGGAGGCGAGAGGATTGCCTGAGTTCGCGGGTTTGAGACCAGCCTGGGCAACTTGGCGAGACCTCATCTCTACAATAAATCAGAAAATTAACTGGGCATGGTGGCATGTGCCTGTAGTTCCAGCTACTTGGAAGGCTGAGGTGGAAGGATCACTTGAGCCCAGCAGGTCGAGGCTGTGATGGCCGTGAGCGTGCCACTGCACTCCAGCCTGGGCGACAGAGTGAGACTCCAACTCAAAAAAAAAAAAATTAGCTGGATATGGTGGTGCACACCTGTAGTTCTAGCTATTTGGAAGGCTGAGGTGGAAGGATTGCCTAAGCCCTGCAAGTCGAAGCTGTGATGGCCATGAGCAGTATGCCACTGCCCTCCAGCCTGGGTGACAGAGTGAGACTCCGACTCAAATTAAAGAACAAAAACCAAACAAACAAATAAACACTGATGGGTTTCTAGAACACTTATCTAGTGAGGGAAGTCTGTACTACAAAAGATCTGCCCTCCAAAATAATTCAAGTATTTTTTTGTTCTCCCTCATAATCCACATTCATACCTCCCATTCCCCAACACATACATTCACACACCAAAAATATTTTCACTCACTTGAAGAAAATTATTGCTATGGTAGGAAACACAGTCTATTATTCTTCAATGAGAGAAAAAAAGCACAGAATAGTTTGAATGAGGTAAATACACTGGCAAATTAATTCATGCTAATGTGTAGACGATTACTACTTGAGTATTTTCTGAGTGGGATTTGCCAAAAGGATCCTGGAGCAAGTTGCCACTAATTGGAGAAAAGTCATAGCAACAAGTCATTGAAGATGTTTTTCAGTGTCTTTTCAGCACATATCCCCACATTGAAACTGTATAGAACAAACGAGCTCCTAACATGTGGCCTCAGAGAGCAGTCCGCTATTTTCAGGACCTCTGAGCCATATTTCCTTGGGCCGTACCTGTACTGTTTGATGTTGACATCCAGGGAACTGTCTTTGTAAGATCCAACCAAGAGAACCTGTAGACAATGTAACATCTTAGCCTTATAATCTAATCATTCAGGGCACCCTTGACAGAGAAGTGAAGTTGATCAAGTTGATATTCTGGTCCCAGACTCTTTCACTTCCTGATACCTCCCTAAACACCAGTCCCACTCTGGCATATATTCTTCCTGCTTTACCACCTGGCTTTCAATTTCTGTTGTTCTCTTTTTCCCTTCCTCATGTTTAAAATCTACTATCAGGAATAAACTTGGTGTTGGTCATTTACCCTGTTGAACATTGCAAATTAGCATATCTTAATGTCACTTTCTAGTTAAGGAATGAGCAATTTTTTTTCCCTATCAATTATTTTTTGAGATTTTCTTTAGAAGCAAGGAAACCTTAGGGAAGTGTGGGGTGATAGGGAACACTTTCCACGTCCCTTGAAATAAAACCCTATAAGAAGCTGCCTTTTCTGTTGACTCACAAAACGATTCCAGTAATCAAGGGGTTTGGAATTCTAAGCTGGATTTTTTTTTTTCTTCTCTGGGCACTGACCTTTAAATTTATATTTGTTAACAGCAGTTATCTGAGAAATTTGGAGGAAAGATTTTATTCCAGAGAACTGTCTACAAATTAGGGACATGGAAACTGCAGAGCAATTTGCAAGGTGCAAAGGCAGGGTCTGGCTTTTCTAGTCAGGTTTGTCTGTGCAAATGAAGGATTAAAACTTGCTTAGTTTTGATTAGTTGACATTGCTAAGGTCTGATTGGCCAGTATAGCTGAGTCCTGATTGGGTAACACAGCTAAATTCTGATTAGTTGATATAGCTGATCCCTGATTGGTTGGTTCATGTGCGTGCTGAAAGTTCCAAATATAAAAAGGTTCAGGTTTTCTGGGACCTCAGAGTATGCTGTCATCACTAGTCAGCAAATGGTTATCTGGTTTTATTTTAAATTTAGGCCAGTTTAGCCACTCAGGATCCATCTTGAAGGTTGGCTCATTCAGTTTAACTTTTGTTCACAGATTCATTACCATTCATTTAGCTTATTAGGCCAGCTTTTTCTCTATGAGAATGGTGTGAAATAGTAGAATGAGTACTCAATGGAGTCAGAGAACTTAGGACAAAAATTTCTGCTACGACTTTCCAGCTTGTTCAGATGTTTAAACGCTGATGAACCGGAACCTCTGCTTCCCGATCTGCAAGAAAAGGTGTAATTTTTTACCTTCCAGAATTACTGTGAAAATTACATGAAATAATACATGGAGAATCAATTAGTTTAAGCATTGCTCATTTTTACAGGCCTTTGAGCTTGAAGTAAAAAACTTTTCCTAGCTAACATACATCACATTCCTAGCTAACATTCCTTCTTAGCCCCTAAAAATATTCCTTGGAATAAATTTTACATGCCTAGCTCAACAATATAATATTTAGTTAGATTTTCATTCAGTATAACCCTTTTTTAAACTAAAAGCATAAGAATCTTCCACAGGAGTTAATAAAATGTATATCTCCCATCAGTGCAGCAAGACAGAATTTATGATCATGTTTATCTACCTTGAGGCAAAGTATTTTTATTACAGTTGCTAATAAGGTAGACTTTTTATAAAAACTGTAGGAAAGTGATGTGGCCTGAGGGGGCATGCTGAGAAATCCAGCTGTTGGCAGAAAACTTACCCTTGGATGCATTTGGTGGGATGAGGAGATAGGCTCATTTGCTCACTGTCCTGTGGCCATCTTCTCTGAAGTGCTCTCAGAAGGCAGGGAACCCTCTAAGCTTAGGGAATATCAGGGTGGGCATTAAAAGGGTGGGGCTGACATTAACTTGCCTATTGAATGTTATTTTTGTCGCCCTCAGCCCAGCATCAGTGGGGTGGACCTGGATAAGTTCCGGGAGATTCTCCTGCGTCACTGTGATGTGAACAAGGATGGAAAAATTCAGAAGTCTGAGCTGGCTCTCTGTCTTGGGCTGAAAATCAACCCATAGTTCCCAGACTGCTTTGTCTTTTGCTTTTACTGTGTTTTTGTGCTCTTGATGCTAGAATTGTATCTGTGCATTGCTGTTTGGGACACAGTGTGCAAACTCTCACAAATGGTGTGGTATTCTTGGGCAACGGGAGGGGTGCTAGGGTCCTCCTTCCACTGGCATGGAATATCCCTGCCTCACTGAAAGCCCCTCATGCAGTGTCTGCATTGTTTTCCCCTTGATGCTGGATTTTCCTGTTCCCGGAAAGACTCTCTGCTTGTCCTTTCCTGGCCACCAGTGGGGGAAGGGCAGCTGAGTCCATCCATCTTGTGCTTTTCCTGTGGGCTTTCTGTTGAGTCTGAATGGTGTGTGGCTTTCATGGCAATTCTGTAATGTCTACAAATAGATTTTTATGTGGAAATAAATCTGCAGCTGGAAACAAAGATGTACTGGTAATTACTTTCATCTTGTGACCTTTTAAATGTTCTATCTGATGGTTTCACAGACAACCCACTTATCTATGGGGCTGGGGAGAGTGGAAAGGAGACTGAAGAACAATATCCTAAAACAGTCCACACCTCCAATCTTTCAGTAGTTCTCAGATGCCCTCACTAGGGCTGACTTTCTGGTATGCTGGCATGGAAGTAGGAGTTGTCAACAACCACGTTTTAATGAATGGAGAAGACCAGAACACTGATCCCGAATAGGGTTTTATTCTTAAGTGCTTGGTGAGCTCACATGGTCAGGCAGGTAGAAATACAAGGGGGACCCAAAAATCCATGGAATTTATTAAAAATTGTGCATTTATTCTTACATGTTTAAACTTCAGTCACCTTCCAGATATTTTCCATTTGATGCAATACACCCATCGAGTTGCTTTTTCCACTGCTCACAACAGATTCTGAACTCATCAGTTTTGATGCCTTTTAGTGCTTCTGCTGTTTTTTGTTTCACTTCTTCCACTTCGGCAAAATGTTTCCCTCTGAGGTCTTTTTACACATGTGGAAACACAAAAAAGTCTCTCAGGACAAGATCAGTTAAATAAGGAGGGTGGGGCACAGGGAGCATGGACCTTTGGTCAAAAACTGCTCAACACTCAGTGTGCAGTGTGGGTAGTTGTGTTGTCATAGTGGAAGAACCAGTCAAATGTTTGTCACAACTTACGATGTTTCTTCTGCAATGCAGCCTCTCACAACAATGCTAGCTGGTACACTGAAGCCAATGGGTTTCTAGAACACTTACCTAGTGGGGAAAGCCCGCACCACAAGGGACCTGCTCTCCAAAAGGCAATTCTGGTTTTTTGGGGGTTCACTCTGGTACAGAAGAAGTTTAGAGAAAATGTTTCCCAGGTAACCCAAGCATTTGCTCCCTCCTCCATTCTGTCTTCCAGCATATCTGGGACTGCTGAGGCCTTCTCTTAGGCCCCCAAGCGCCTCTAATGGGCACCTCTGCATGCTCCTGTCCCCAATATGTGCCCTTGCTCATGTCACTCTTTGAAGTCTAAGAGAGGGGGCTGCTTCCACCCAGGGCAGGGGCAGCGAGACTGATGTGGGGCAGGCCCCACTTCCCTTTACAGTCCTCACTTTTTATTCTTTATAATGTCCTTACCTTATACCAGACTGTGCAGGAATTTCTGGCTTAATGAAGTGTTATCGATAATTCAAAAAATTACAAGTGTAGCATAGTGTATTTAGAGCTGTTCATAACCCAAGAATTCCTCTGTTTAATAGGGGTTTCCCTCATTGTACACCCTGTTCCTAACCTGATTCTCTTCTCCAGTCTCCCATACCTCCAACATGCAGTTAATTAATATGAAGAACTACTATTTACTAATTGCTTTCTATGTTTTAGGAACTTCTAGGTGCTTTCCATACCTTAAGGAAGTGAATCCTCATCAAATCCCTGTGAAGTATATACAATCATGATACTCATGTTAGAAATAAAAAAACCAAGGATGATAAAAGCTAAACAACATGTCCATTGTCATACCTCTTGGAAATGGGGAGTCAGGAAGTCTGGCTCCAGAGCCCGTGGTCCCAGTTACCATTTCAGCCAGTTTTCTTGCACCTTTCAGGAAAACTGGGCCCCTCCCCACAGCTTTGGTCTCACATTGGGTTCCACCACAACCAGCAGCAGAATATTCCTCAACGTTTGTGTCATTTAGTCTGGGGTTACAGTTCATGTGGGTTTAAAAAGAATCCAGGAAGCAGCAGCACAGGACAAACCAAGCATGCCAGCTGCTTCTGCTTCTGCTTCTGCTTCTGCTGCTGCTGCTGCTGCTTCTTCTTCTTCTCTCTGTCTCTCTCTTTCTCTCTCTCTCTCTCTCTCTCTCTCTCACACACACACACACACACACACACACGCACGCACGCACACACACACACTTCACAGTATAAACATTTTCAGGGTTGAGAAGTGTAAACATACAAGGAAGAAAAAGAATTCTCTATCATCAGGACATCACATTATCTTGCAACACACGAATTATTCTTCTTAATCTCCTGTTTTCTTCTTGTTGTTTTTTTTAAGTCAGAATCTCACTTTGTCATCCAGGCTGGAGTGCGGTGGCATGATCATGGCTCACCACAGCGTCAACTTCCTGAGTTCATGTGATAATTCTGCTCAGCTTCCTGAGTAGCTGGGATAACAGGCACACGCCACCGTGCTTGGCTAATTTTTTAAATTTTTGTGGAGATGAGATCGTGTTAAGTTGCTTGGGCTCAAGCAATCCTCTTACCTTGGACTCCCAAAGTGCTAGGCTTACAGGCATGAGCCACTGTACCAGGTCAACTGTAGCTCTTTATTTTAATGTAGTTAGATTTGTCTTATATTTATTTATTGCCATACTTTTTATGTTTGATTTGAGAAATCCCGCTCTATGTGTTACAAACTCATTCTTTTTTATGACCATTTCTTAAAACTTAAAAGTTATGTCATATATACATATGTGTGCATGTGTAGCATAACATTTGCCATTCAACCACTTTTTTTTTATAAACTAATTTTAATATGAAAAATTTTATGGCAATCTAAATAACAGCAAGATTTACTTCAAAGTGAAGAAAAAATGGGAGATACTTGGTGTGATGATTTCAGGAGTCAACTCCAATATTAGGAATACAAAATATACACGATCGAATCTGTTTTATTACATGATATGTGCTTGAATAATTTTTTTGGGGGGATTTTATTTTATTTTTTAATTAATTAATTAATTTTTAAAATCAATACTTTTATTATGGTTTTGTGGGGTACAGTTAAGGGTTAGGTGTACAATTGCGTTTCATTCAGGCACCCTGTTGATAAGAGGTGTTTCCCCTTCCCCACATTCAACCATTTTTAAGTGAATAATTCAGTGGCATTAATTAATCTTGTGCAACCATTACCACTACGTCTAAACTTATTCATCACCCCAAACAGAAACTGTATCCATCAAACAATAACTCCTGTATCCATTAAACAATAACTCCTCCCACGCCTTGGGAGGCTGAGGTGAATGAATTGCCTGAGCCCGCGGGTTTGAGACCAGCCTGGGCAACTTGGTGATAAATCAAAAAATTAGCCGGGCGTGGTAGTGCACGCCTGTAGTTCCAGCTACTTGGAAGGCTGAGGCGAAATGATCACTGGAGCCCAGCAGGTCAAGGTTGCGGTGGCCGGGAGCGGCCACTGCACTCCAGTCTGGGCGACAGAGTGAGACTCCAACTCAAAACCAAAAAACAAAAACAAAACAAAACAAAAACTCCTGATTTTCCTCTCCCCCAGCTTCTGGTAACCACTAATCTACTCTCTGTCTTATTTACCCTTTTAGAAGTAGCATTTCAGGAGTTTGTGGATGACCGTAGGCAAAATAAATAGGTCTGTCCTGACTCTATTCTATTATGTTAAATTACAAGGAGGGTCTTAGCCATTGCTTTACTAAATTCTGGTCTGGCCACGTGGATCTTTGAGCTATGGTTGCTAGCTTTGGCCCTTTCTCCTACCTTGGGGAGGTGAATCTCTTCTCTCTTTCTATCTAATTTCTAAATATGTTATATTTTCCAATCTAAAAGCAAGCAAACAAACAAGCAACAGAAACAAAACCAAGGAAGATCTCCCAACTGTATGTGAAGACTTACAACAGAGATGTGAGACAGCTATGGGTGGCAGAGCTGCCCTTCAAGAAAGCTAAAACATTTTATGGCATTTCTTTTGATGTGATTTCCTCTTTTGCCATCTTCCATATTTATCTTTTCATTAAAAAATCGAATTAAAACTACACTGAGATACCACCTAACTCCTGTTAGTATGGCCATCATCAATAACTCAAATAACAACAGATGCTGGAGAGGATTTGGGTAAAGAAACATTTCTACACTGTTGGTGGGAGTGTAAACTAATACAGTCTCTGTGGAAAACAGTGTGGCAATTCCTAAAAGATCCAGAAATTGACCTCCCATGTGACCCAGCAATCCCTCTTCTGGGAATATACCTGGAGGAACTCAAATCATTCTACAAAAAAGATACCTGCTCAGGCATGTCTATTGCAGCACTACTCACAGTAGCTAAAACATGGAACCAACCATGCTGCCCATCGAAAGTAGACTGTATTTTAAAAATGTGGTACACATACATACATATACATGATGGAATATTATGCAGCATAAAGAAGGACAAAATTATGAACTTCGCAGCAACTTGGAAGGATTTAGAGACTGTAATACTCGGTGACCTATCACAGAAAGAAAGAACTGAGTACCACATGTTCTCACTCATAACCAGACCCTGAACAATTATCATAATACTATAAGAAAGGGATCGGCAGTAGCAGGAAACTGCCAGGGGAGGGAGCTGGAGGGGGGACACACTTCATCGATAAGCGTACCTGATCTCAGGCCAGGTGATGCGGAGACCAAAGTGGGGCCAAAACTTTGCCTGTACAATAACCATTTGGATACCTAACCCTGAGTTGTACACCACATCTTAAAAAAAATCTATCCAGTATCTTCCTTTAAAAATAGAATTGGTAGCTGGGCTCGGTGGCTCAGCCTGTAATCCCGCGCCTTTGGGAGACTGAGGTGAGTGGCTCGCCTGAGCCCACGGGTTCGAGACCCGCCTGGGCAGCGAGACCTCATCTCTACAATAAATCAAAAAATCAGTCGGGCGTGGTAGCGCATGCCTGTAATTCCGGCTACTCGGAAGGCTGAGGCGGAAAGATCGCCGGAGCCCAGCAGGTCGAGGCTGCGGTGGCCGGGAGCAGCCATTGCACTCCAGTCTGGGTGACAGAGTGAGACTCCAACTCAAAAAAAAAAAAAAAAAAATAGAATTGGTGGGTGGGTGCAGTAGTCTACCTGTTATCCCAGAACTGTGGGAGGTTGAGGAGGGAGGACTGTCTGAGTCCAGAAGTTTAAGACCAGCGTGGGCAACATGGTGAGACCTTGTCTCTACGATACATAAAAAAATTATC